TAACTAAATAAAAAAATAAATCCTTGGCAAACCCTCAATATTCATGTGGCTGTTAGCAGGCTTTTCTATGCACAGACTATAAACAGGTAATTAGAATTAATAACCTTAATAATAAAAAAGTTTTTAAACCTAAATTTTCATTTTCTTTCTCCAGTCAGCACAAAATAAATTTTAAGATTTCATCTATTTACCCGGGAGATCTTGTCTTTTCCACCTTCCTATGTAGATCCACGTCAGTCTCTCTTAGGGTTCCCTTTGTTGTCTAGGTTCTCTGGGATTGTGGCCTAAAGGCTGGTACTTCTTTGCTTTATTTCTAAAAGCCAATTATGAGTGAGTACACATTATATTTGTCTTTCTGGGTCTGGGTTACATCACTCAATATGTGTTTTTCTAGATCCATCCATTTGCCTGCAGATTTCAAGATGTCAGATTTTTTTTTTTTTCGAGACAGGGTTTCTCTGTAGCTTTTTTGGTTCCTGTCCTGGAACTAGCTCTTGTAGACCAGGCTGGCCTCGAACTCACAGAGATCCTCCTGCCTCTGCCTCCCGAGTGCTGGGATTAAAGGTGTGCACCACCACCGCCCGGAAATGTCACATTTTTTTAAATTGGGAGCGTGGGGGGTCATGGGAGAGGGTAGAAGGGTAGAGGGGAGGAAGGGAGGGGAGTGGAGAAAAATATATAGCTTAAATCTTAAAATAGAGAAGTATAGAAGCCTCTACAGAGGTGTTCTCACCTGCCCTTCCCCCTCAAGCGTCTGCTTTGGTCTCTTCTCCATCTGATCCACTCATACGACCTTCCTTCTCTACTCCAAGTTTTCCAAAAATAAAACAGATTTTGTCAAAACATAATCTCAGTTTTTCAAAACTAAGAGTATACGGGAGTCCCGAGGAAGAATCAGAGCCATGAGGAAGAAAACCGTAGGCCTGGACTCCCCTCAAGCTTGGGTACAGCGCCCAGCTCTGCCTTTCACCCTTCATACTTTGGATTGCCTTTGACGAGAACCCTTGTCTGCAGCAGGTAAAGAAACAACTGGGTGGGAAAAGAGGAGAACTTAAAAAAAAAAAAAACAACCAAAAAACAAGTAAATAAAACATCATTTACTGAGCGCCAGGGTCTTGGAGAATATCTCACAAGATATACATCACTGCCCCTACTGTGTGGACAAAACCTGGAGGGACAAGCTGAGAAAGGTATGTCCTTGTGAAGTCTGAAGTCATGCAGCTAGGGAAGGGGTGATCCAGAGGCTAACCCACTCCCAGGGGTTTCTTCTACCCCCTTTATAGTCTCTTCTCATTCCCTTACTTCCTCCCCTCAGACAGACAATCGCGTTTCTTGAACTCTAATTCACAGACTCACTAGGTGGCCCAGTAATTGTTAGGGAATCCGCTGCACTGTGCAGCCATCACCTTTATCTCGGCCACCTTAATTTCGTCACCTCAGCCCTCCACCTCATGTCAGGTATAATTAACTTGCAATCTTACCCGTGTCCCACGATTTCACTGCTCTGCTTTCTGTGGCTACAGATTTGTCTCAATTTAGCCCTTAGGAGATATTCCGAGTACCACAATATGCAGTCCTGCGCATCTGGCTTCTTTCCCTTAGCCTCGGGCCCTTGGTTCATCCATGTAACATACGTAACATGTGGCTTTTTAAAAGTGGTAGTGGGATTCTGTGGGGAGGATATGCAACATGACAGCCATCAAATCACCTGTGGGTTCTGCTCAGGTTTTGGTCATCGGATACAGCAAGGCTTTATGAGGAAGTGGATTAGTTTTCTTGGCTGTATACTTAGGAGTGGAATTGCTGGGCCATGTGGTAACTGTGTTCAGCTTTTTCAAGAATTCTAAGGCATTATTTTTCAAACCGACATCCCATTTCACAGTGCCACCAGCAGCGAGTGAGCATTTTAGTTTTCCACATCCTTGCTAAGGTTTTTCATGACTGGTCTTTTTCTCAGAGTCACCCTGGGGGTGGGGGTTGTGGGCCCTCCATCATCATCATGGTTTCGATTCATGTCCCTCTAATGACAGAAGGTGATGAGCCTTTTTTTCATGGACAACCCAGCTCTTCATAGAGCATCTTTGGAAATCGGTCTACTACTGATTTTAACGATTCCGCTTGGTCTGTCTGTCTCTCTCATCAGCAAAGGAAAAGATGGGCCGATTTTGTTGATCCTTCAAAGAACTGAACTAACTTCTAGCTTCATTGATTTTCCCCCCTTTTCTATATCCTTGGTTTCCTCTCTAAACTTTATAAATTCCCCTGTCTCTGCTTGCTTTGAGTTTTGTTTGCTCTGCCGTTATAGGTTCTTAAGATAAAAACTTGGCTATTGCTATGTTTGGTGCTCCACTTGGAATCGAGGTCATGACTCCGAGGGAAATGGTCGTGCTCCTGGTTCACCAGGTCCTGGTAGGATTTCTTCACTTTTACCTTTGGCGTGGGGCCTGGAGACAGAAGCACGTGATAAGAATGCCACAGATGCTCGACCTTTATCCAACATTCCCTAGACTTTCGGGAATAGCAGTTCCCAACCTAATGACCATTTCTGATAGCGTTGTTCAGCTTTCTTTTCTTTTCTTTTTCTTTCTTTCTTTCTTTTTTTTTTTTTTTTTATTTTTCGAGACAGGGTTTCTCCTTAGCTTTTTTTGGTTCCTGTCCTGGAACTAGCTCTTGTAGACCAGGCTGGCCTCGAACCCACAGAGATCCGCCTCCCTCTGCCTCCCGAGTGCTGGGATTAAAGGTGTGCGCCACCACCGCCCGGCCGTTGTTCAGCTTTCTAATTGGTTTTCTTCCCTCCGCAGGAAATCAAGTCTTGTTTGTGCTCATCCATTTCTCATTCTACCCCTCATGACCTTTGGGGTCATAGGGCACAACACAATTCATTTCAAAAGATACTTAAGCCTCGACACACCGAGCTTCTGGGAATCTGCATTTATAGCAGAGGAAGCCGATAGCGCCCCCGATGCACCCCAAATGTGCTAGACAGGCAGGACACCTAGCCCTCCCACCAGTGCTCAGGCAGAGGCTCCTGCAGTGGCCCAGAGGGTCACAGAACACATCGTGTCATCTTCTGCGGGTCTGCATGAGGCAGAAGGCTTTCCAAATACATGCTGGTTGAGGCCCAGACTACAAACCCAGTCTTCTGAAGAGAGCCGGCCCTAGCTTCTCCTCTCCTTAGGGATACAAGGCAGGGAAGGGACAAGGGCAGGGACTCAGAGACTGGGCTCCAGCGCTGTGCTTCCTCTTATTGGAGCCTCTCTTTGGGGGGGGACTCTCCTCGTTTGTAACAGAGAACACGAATAGCTTTATCTTCAGAGTTACTCAGATGTGAGAAAAGTTCCATGATAGCCACTGCCATGTTAAACATGACCGAAGTGCTAGGACATGGACGGCTTTCAGTGTCGCAAGACACAGTGGCTTGAGAAGGGTTGCTCTTCCCCTGCCACTTCCTTCTCTTGTCTCCTCAGCCCCAGAAAGCAGGCTGCTGCAGAACAGCAGGTGGCACCATGGTCTCCCAGCACCCTTCTGCGTAGCAGGGATGGAGGAAGGGGCAGAGGCTGAGACAGGGACAGAGCTCTGCTTTGTCCTTGGTAAATGTAAGAGCATCTCTAGCCCTGGCCACAGCTGTAGCTGCCTGTGCCATAGCAAAAGGGCATCTCCATAGCTAGAGCAGAGGCTGCGAAGGGAGCCCGGGAAGAGATCCCTGCTGGACAGCTTTACCAGGCCTCTTCTGCACGCTCACTTTGAGTCATCACGGGCTGACTGTGATCCTATCAGACTCACCAGTGGGTCACAGCAAAGCTACACGAGACACACTCACGGTTGAGAGCATTTGCGTGTCAAGAAAAGGGTCACATTTTAAAGTGTGTTGCCATAGACATTGGGATCTGTTTTAAATTTCCAAAGTAGATGGCTGCAAACTCTAGCTTCAGGCTTTAATATTTAAGGAAAATCAAGCTACTCATTTCAGTACACACCCCTGGGATATATTGCAGAAGTGTGCAAGCGAAAGAAACCCTGGATCCTAGGCTGAATAAATAAGACAGTCTAAGCTGTTCTTTGCCTTGTATGGTGCTTTAATACTGATCATCAACTTGACAGGATCTAGAACCAGCTAGGAGACAAGCCTTTGGGACTGTCTCTGAAGGTGGTTCTCAACCTTCCTAAACCTGTGACCCTTTAATACAGTTCCTCACATTGTGGTGGCCCCCCCAAACATAAAATAATTTTCATTGCTACTTCACAACTGTAATTTCCTACTGTTATGAACTATAATCTAAATATCTGTGTTTCCCAATGGTCTAAGGCAACCCCTGTGAAAGGGCTGATTGACTCCAAATGGGTCACGACCGTCAGGCTGAAAACCACTGGTCTATAAAGAAGCTTCTAGGGTAGATTAATTTAACTCTGTACGGTGCTTTTCTGTGGGCTGGGGATCAGAGCCGAATGAACAGGGGAAAGTAAGTCGGGACACCAGTCTGCATCTCTCTGTTTCCCCGAGAGCAGATACAATATGACCAGCTGATTCGCATGCCTTCCCTACCATGAGGGATGTAGTACCATCAATCAGTGAGACAATACAAACCACTCTTACTTAAATCCCTTTGCCAGATACTGTGTTGCAACAATGAGGAAAGAAATAATACCCTTGTTAGCTTTTATTATGGAAATTAAGGAAGCTGCCATGTCCAGCAGGGAGCACAGGAGAGAAACTGCCTCAACTAAAGAGGTTTTAGACCAGAGCAGAACTGGACGCTTGAGTTTCAGAGAAACTTCTGTAAGCCAGCCACACCTTGCTCACTGGGGGCTTCTCGCATGCTACCATGGCCCCTGCCTCAGCTCTGCAGCGCCCCCCGTCTTACCTCGACCACTTCATTCCCGGTCACTCTTCATGCCAGCCAGCGCCCTGCCCTCTGCACGAGCACCCCCGCCTGTCCCCCACTTTGGAGCCACCACTGGAGGGGTGTACCCACAGGCTAAACACAGAGCTTCAGCGTTACCTATTTGCCTTTCTAGATCAGCGGCTTCATCAGGAGTGGCTCGAGGGAGGACTCCCGGATCGCTGAAGCTGGTCCGAAGCAGAGTCCCCATCACGAAGAAGAACAGGATACCGCCGACCACGGGGATAGCGGGGGTGATGTTCACCGCGAGGTATGGACAGCTGCCAGCAGGTTTCAGAGAGAGAGAAGAGAGAGGATTATAGTGTTAGGATCCACAGCCACAGTTCGGATCTTCCAAGAAGCAAAATCATCACTTAGCTGAGTGAGACTGATTTCTGTTAAAACCCATCTGGGTTGGGGAATGTGGCTCAGTGTAAAGCACTTGTCTAGCGATTGTGAGAGCCTGAGCCTGGATCCCCAGAGTCCATGAAATAGCATATGTCTGTAATCCCAGAAACCCTATGGAGAGAAGGAAGACTGAGGCAGGCAGGAGTCTTCCCAGAAGCTCCGAGGCCAGCTACCCTGGTATATCCCATCCTGAAGTAATAAAGAGGCTCTCGTCTCAAGAACAGTGGACAGCGAGGAACAAAGCCCCAGGATGTGCTCTAACCCCCACTTGTGAGATTGTGGCATGTGCACACCCACGTACACCCACACAAGAGATGAATTTAAATTTTAAATTTTAAAAATGAAAATTTAGACTGGGCAGTACTGATGCGCGCCTTTAATCCCAGCACTTGGGAGGCAGAAGCAGGTGGATCTCTGTGGGTTCAAGGCCAGCCTAGTCTACAGAGTGAGTTCCAGGACATCTAGGGCTACAAAGAAAAACCCGTCTCAAAAAATAAAACAAAACAATTAGATTTGGGGTGGTTGCAGTGTGCTCGGTGACAACCCCACCCCCTCCACTGATCAGGGCAGGCCAAGCTCCACAAGAGAGACACTGGTAGAAGAGAAAACAATCCTGCTTGTACAATCGATCTAGAACGCCTGTAGCTTGAATAAATACACACGAGCCCTTTGCATTGTAAACACTTATCAGCCCAAAGTCCCCACCCATCTCTGGAAACACAGATGATAATGTCAACGTAGACACCTCAGTCTGACCCACCTGGGCCAAACCACTCGGGAACTTTCCGCCAGCTTAACACTGCTTGCAAACACCAAGGAATCATTTGTCAAGACTGTGGGGGCCAGTTTGTCCAGAGGAGGGTGATACGCCATAGACATGGACCTACAGCTGAGTTTCTGAAAAGCCAGGGAGAAGACTCACTGGCTGAGCCACACTAACCCCATGCTTTCCCAGGAAGCACCTGGAGCCATCAATTCACGAGTGTGGTCCAGTTCTTGTTATTTTTGTTCTGTTTATTTTTAAGAGATGGGTCTTCCCTGGCTCCCCAACCTGGACTTTGTACCCTGGACTAAAGATATCCTCCCGTTTTAGCAATTCCAAGTAGTTGGAGCAATATCAGATGCTTTTCACTACCCGCCCTTAATGCGACAGAATCCTGTTCACTGTTGGTGGACAGAGGAATTATGCCACAGAGACTGTGGGGGTAGAAGAAAAGGGACTTTGGCAGACTAAAGTTTGTGCTGGGACCTGGCACCTCACCCTTGATCTTATACTGTGGTGTGGTGGGGTTGGGCAGGTTCAAGCACTGGGCCCTTGGCCTGTTGTCATGGTGTCTTGATACCGCAGGGTGATGAGACATAGAGCAAAGAGCTGCCTGGAACTTAGTGAAGGATGAGGTCTGCCATGGCTATCAGTAGTCTCTTGTGGCCACATTAAGTGTTGTCGTGGGTGTGGGAGAACACACATGGCACCGTGGGATCACAGTGTCTCTGTAGCGCTGCGGGGAGGCACTCCCAGCTTGTCCTCAGAAGCAGAAGTCCTGGCTGTTCAAGTAAAGAACAGACAAGAAGGAGGTGAACTCTGCTCAGATGTGGGAGGTGGGTAGGGGTGTGGCTCCCATCATTTGGGTACCAGAACCCTACTGTGTACAGGCTTCTGGTGGGATGCCCAGCAGGGATACTGCTAAGATTGGCTCTCAAGGACCACATGACAGGAACCCCTTTGCTGAAGGAGCGAAGGCCTTTCAGAATCTTCTGCCATGAAGAAGCCCGGAGACTCCCCGTGCCTTCCAGAAGGCGGTGGGATGGTCCCAGATGTCAGTAGCGGGGACAGATTCCCTGCTGGCCCTGTGGACTGTCTCTAGGGAAGTCACCTGACTAGACACAACACCAGAGCATTTCCAGGGCCTCCATGACCACGCCCACCAACTCTGCTACAGGGCCAGAGCAAAGAAAAACCCACACCACAAAACAGTGCTTCATCACACTCCCGCTGGGTTGTTGGTTGCTGTGTCTTCACAGGAATAGAAAAAAAAAAAAAAAGAAACAAAACCCAACCAGGTCATTGCTAATCTGGTACGAGCTCCAGGACGTCTGAACAGCTATGAACATCCCCAGAGAGACTCGTAGAAAGTGAGGTGACTTGGAGAGTGGGAAGAGACAGAGGACCTTGCTCAGGGGAAAAAAAAAAACCTAAGAAACATTAACCTCAGAACCCCCTGTATGGGTTCTATCCCAAGACTTGAGGGTTTTAAGAAACAAGCCCCAAGTACGCTGCTCCTACCAACTGTGACATTGCCAGCAGAGGCTCAGCACTTCAAGAGTGTGTTTTTTGTAAAACTGAGCAAAGCCCTTGTGGCAGTTTGAAAGAAAATGGCTAAAAAAAAAATCAAAAAAAAAAAAAAAGAAAGAAAGAAAGAAAGAAAGAAAATGGCTCCCAAACCAGGAGTGGGGGGCGGGAGGCAGGGGCAATTAGGAGGTGTGGCCTTGTTGGAGGAAGTGTGTCACTGTGGGGGTGGGCTTTAAGATCTCATATATGCTCAAGCCACGCCCAGTGAGCAGACCACTCCCTGTTGCCAGTAATGGGATGTAGAACTCTCAGCTCCCTTCCTAGCACAGTGTCTGCCTGCCTGCTACCTGGCTTCCCACCATGATGATAATGGACTGAACCTCTGAACCGTAAGCAAGTCACCCCAATTAAGTGTTTTCCTTTATAAGAGTCGCCATGGTCACAGTGTCTCTTCACAGCAAGAGAAACCCTAACTAAGACAGCCGTCTTTTGATGCCCCCCCCCTTTTTTTTTATCTCACCTCTCATCTTCTGCCAAGGGGAGATGCAGGCTTACTAGAAGGAGGTCCCTTGATCTTGGGTTTCCCAGCCTCCAAAACTGTCAGAGATGAATCTGTGCTCTTTGGAAATCATTCCGTCTGGGGCATTCTGTAATAACTTCATGAACTTGACTAACAGACCTCTTTGGAAAAGTAGTCACACATCACAGAAATGCCCCTTCAATTCTGTGGGTCTTGCTGTGTGGGAAGGGAGTCTGTGCTTCTCTCCAGAGGCTTTAGGCAAAAACTGACACAATTAACCTCTTTAGTGGACTTTCACCTTTTCCACAACATTTGATTTTGTAATAGTAAGCACTGAAAAGCTTCAGGTTAAATGCTTAAGAAACTAGGGACTCCATAACCAAGCCATTAGCTGTTCTCTTACACTCTGAGCCTGCAGAAAGGGTTTTTCCCCTTGTACCTCAGTCATGTAGATCTACTGAAATGGCCTTCCACTGTGTGGGCCTGGGTTCTGGGTTCTAACATAGATTTTCTATTTCAACTTGAGACATGAAGAGAATTGAGAAGTCTTTTCAGAAATGACTGTTTCCCCCATTAGAGACTTAATATAAAACAATCATCAAAATCTCAGTGCTATATCAGACTCAGAACCCAAAACATCTGTCAAGGCCCCATATGTGTGAGAGGGTGTGGCAGATAATACTTTTTGGGGGTGTCTCCACTTTGTTTCCTGTTGCCGTGATAAAACACCCTGACCAAAGCAGCCTAAAGGAGAAAGGGTTTATGTGGCTCATAATTACAAGTTGCAGTCAATCCTGATGGGGACATGTAGGTGGCAGGAACTTGAAACAATTAGTCTTGCTACATTCATAGTTAAGAGCAGACAGCAGAAAATTAATGTAAGATGCTTATAGGAAAGATGCCCACATTTAGAGTGAGCTTTCCCACTTTAATTAATCCAATTAATAAATTCCTCATAGGCAACAGGCATGCTCACAGTCAACTTAATCTAGACAATGTCTCTCTTCCAACCGAGAGTCTCTTCCCAATCTACTGTGTCAAGTCAGCCACCACAATGGGCATGTTTAGCGTTTCCATGGGGCACCTAAATTCAATCACTTCAAGTCCAGACCTTGAACTGTGACATCAGCTTGGGAGTAATCAGACAGGGACTCTGATTTTGGAGCTCATTAAAAGCATGTGTCATATCAAGCAGATGTTAGCTTTGTCTCTCTTATTGCCATTTAAAAAGCAACCTCTGTCATGTTACACCTTGAAAATGTGCCAGTATGTGGCCACCAGAAATAAGCCACCCATGTTAAACTCAACCAAAGACTACCAGCGATAAACTCACTGATGTTGTTGGCATGTGTCTGTGATGTGAGAGGGCCCTATTCTTAGGAAATGCATAATCCAGAATTTAGGGACAAAGTACCATGAGGTATGCAGTCTTCCTTCTTTCTTTCTTTCTTTTTTTTTTTTTGGTTTTTCGAGACAAGGTTTCTCTATAGCTTTGGTGCCTGTCCCGGAACTAGCTCTTGTAGATCAGGCTGGCCTCAAACTCCCAGAGATCCGCCTGCCTCTGCCTCCCGAGTGCTGGGATTAAAGGCGTGCGCCACCACCGCCCGGCTGCAGTCTTCTTTCAAATAGTTTAGAAAAAGTATGGCAGAGGGAGATAAAATGGTATGAATATTTATAGGTGAATTTAGGTAAAAAAAATGGATATGTGTTATTATTTTTATTGCAACTATTCTTGCCCTCCAGTTTGTTGAGGTCTGTAAGTCCTTTCACGTGGAAGCTGAGGAGCTGCCCTTCTGTTGGGCTTCCTTGGAGATAAGGAGAAACTATCCCATAGCTCACTGAACTACTATGTGTCACATTCTGCACAAATTTGCCAGGCTCTTTGGGATCCTCTGTGCTCTGATAGTAGGAGATGCGCTCTTTATGTCAATAAAGTGTTATGAAATAGTGGGTGCTTGGTGACAGCTGTCCTCTTCCACCAGCCTCTATGTGACCAAGGACAGTGCTGAATCCTCCTTTATCAATGCTGCAGGATTCACACCTCTAGACAATGGCATCTGTGC